TTTATAGAATTTTATTCTCCATGAGACTTATACCTAAGATTAGTATTATCACGATGAAATTTTATTGTTCTAATAGATTTTTCTAGTTTCTGAAATTAAGCGGCTTATGTTTCATGTATTTATAACAATTCTTTCTAAATTTTAGAGCTTTTCAAATTATTTTCCCTGTTTAATTCACGTCTCTTGATCTTTATTGAATTATATCACCGGAGATTTCAGGTAATCCAAGCTAATTGGTTTTTAACACCTGTCATCGTTTGATATTGCTAAAATTATCTTTAGGCAAAATAACATCAAAAGGGCGATAATCTGGCCCTCAATTATTTTTATGTTTTATTCAAGTGTCAAAACTTTTTATCTATTTATCTCCAAATGTCATTTTTACACATGTCGCATTCTAATTGTTATATACACTGTTAATTTTGATTTGAATAATCAGTCGGAATCGGACAGCCGTCCCGAGCACACCGACCTGTATCAAAATTTGTCAGATCCATATTAAAAGTTAAAACGCTGGTCGAAGTTAGTCTTGATTCTGTTTAATAAAACTCATAACTGGCAAAGGAACGCAAATTGTGGCTGACAGAATCTTTGAACAGGATAGTCAGGAAAGCTGGCAGAATCTTTGGTCATGCAGGATCGTCAGAAATCTTTAAGCGAGAAATAAGCCGTTCACGTTTTCTAGTGGGGTCTTATTGTAGCACGGCCCGAGTGTCGATCGGGTTGGTGTAATCATTAAAGATGTGCCAATTAATTGTCATATACAAATTTAAATTGAAAAATTCAAATTTTTGTAGAGGACAGTATGACAACATTATAAGAACCGCTGTATCTGGTAAATCTTAAAAAGTTGCAAAATGCTTAACTTTAACATAACCTACAGTCCCTGAAACGTTCTACTTTCCCACGTGAACGGTGAACGAACGGTGAACGAACGCAGAGTGAACGGTGGGTGAACGATGTGCGAACGCTGAACGCAACTTGGTGAACGATGTGTGAACGGTGAACGGTGAGTGAACGCAGAACGCAAACGGAGCGCAAAGTGAACGGTGAACGAATGGTGAACGCAAGATGAACGATTTATTCGGAACGCCTCCGATCTTTTCCTTGCATTGAGATTATTCTATTATCTAATTCCAGATGCTTAAATATGAATAAACAATAGATAAATAAATAAATAAATAAATAAATAAATAATAGAACATTTTTGTTCTGTATATATATGTCTACCTATGTTTTAAATCGGTATTTTTAAAACATGATTTTATTTGCCGTAAAACATGTGTATTTGTAATTAGCCCTAAAGATATATTTAATTAACTGAATATTTGCAGTACTGTTCATAATTCTCAAACCTACATGTAGTTAAAATACGTGTTACTGGAGAAATAATTTTTTTTAATGTATTCTTGTCCTGTAAAAGACTTGGATTAATTATTATACATCCATTAGTAATTTGTCCTCTTTAAAATTACAATAAATTGATACTGTGAGTGAAGCATTTGTTAATTGCCCTTTTTTAAAGTTAATATTTTAGCATCGTTCTACATACATGTAGGCACTTAATGTATTATTTTCCAGGGAAATTTCATGAAATAAGTAACAGCTTAGTTACAATAATAAAAATATAAATACCATAGATAATTTTGGCAATGAAATAATTATTCTGCAAACACGATATCTAAGTTATTTAATTAAAAAAACATGTAAATATTTATTATCAAAAAGATTTCCTTTCACTTCAGAGTTCCAATTACAATGCAGATTGAACGATAAGTGAACAGTGAACGCAAGGTGAACACAAAGTAAACGGAACAAAGAGCAAACGGTGAACGTTTTGTGAACGGTGAACGCGAGCACACGGTGAACGGTAAACGCAATACTGTGAACGAAGAGCGAACTGTGAACGCACGCTGAACGAACGGTGAACGAACGATGAGCAAACGGAAAAATGGGAAAGTAGAACGTTTCAGGGACTGTATAGTCGATATCAAACCTATGGTTTGGACACAAGGATGTAGAATAATCAAAATATTTAATACATAGATTTGTTACACAGCTTGTAGAGGTATTATAAATATTAAAAATGCCAATGCTAAAACATGTAGGTATCACAAAAGAAACTGGGATAAGCCGAAATTGATGCCTTCATTATGAGAATTCAAGAAATTTGTTGCTCAAAAATGCCACTTTTAGCTCAACTGAACAGAAAATTTAATTGAATAACTTTCAGGATTAGACGAGCCCACACTTGATCTCACCCCTGCGAAATGATATTAATGATTTTAAGAACATTTATGAGTTGTTCATAATTGTTCATGAATGGTTCTTAAAGGATTTTTAACAGGTTCATAAAAGTTGTTCATGAATAAAATTCATGAAAACATTCATAATCAATAGTTCATGAACAAATGATGAACAAATATGAATATTGTTAATTTTCAGTTTAAAGAAAAAAACTTAATAGTCCAAGGTAATGAATGTTCATGAATTTTCATGAAGACAAAAAATGTAAAAATAATTGTCACAAACGATCGCCAGAAAACACTCATTACTCCCATAATACAACTTTTGCATGCAGATGCAATCAGGATAATAAAACTCTGTTATGTACTGTCTAGAAGGGAGATTGTAATTAAATTATGATCGTAATTTAAAGAACACTGCATCAATATTGACAGCATTTTTTTTCTCATATTGAATTACTAATGTTTCTTCATCATTTAAAATGGCCAGCTATATTAATATTGTGCTTTAAATTATCTCATTTTTCACGACACAACTTTGTTCGACCGAATTTTCTCTATTTGTCAAACTTTTAACAAGTTGTAAGAAAATGAAACAGACTTACAGTCTAGGAAAAAATTTATAATCTTCGTAAAAACGTATCATAGATTTATTGACAGCTAAAAAATCATATCTCTTTGTCCGTACTATTCTTGGGTCAAACGCTATATATTTTGATGCAGTTATCAAGTCGCTCATTTTTCTGTACATCGTGTGTAAATGATACAGCACAGGCTGCATGGTTGTGAAGTATCTATGACATGATCAACATTCGTATTTTGTAGTCTATTCTCCTATACACTTTCATAGCTCAGGGTATTCTGTTTGAGGGCGAGTGGTTCCCAAGACTTATTTGTTGTCCTCTTGATATGGAGGCGGCCATACTTGAAAATACGAAACTGTGGCTCTACAGGTATAATGTAAAAAATCCAATTCAATAAATGATATAACTTATATTAATTTAAAAAAAAACTAATTTCAGTGAAAAATCATTCAGATAGTGTTCGTTATTTTTTATTTAACAACAATCTTGGCAATTCGAAACTATTTCTTAATTAGCTCTGCATGACACTTTTTAAAAGGCGCAAACTTTGAAACGCGCGAGACGTTGGAAAGTGAATTGGTAGAGTTGGAGGATTATTAGCGTATATCTAGTCATTCTTTGTCAACCATTGAAGAAAATAACAGAATACGAAGAAGGAATATCCAGAGGATCAATTTACTTCATAACTGCAGATATTAATGGTGAGTTACAAAAAAATGGAGGCAATCGCTGAATCTGTGAGATATTTGTCAAGATGTTACTGTCTATTTGTAAGAGTTCAGTTATGTCTTTTTTAATGATAATTTTGTCAAACTTTGTTATGAGTTAGGATCCAACCAAATTACGTAACATTTAATAATTAAAGATTGAAAAATTTATCCTGTTCACCTCTAACATCTTGAATATGGCGGGCAAGGGAAACTGGCTAAACTACCGCTCGGAATGCTTTAAAATATGGCAGTGCCTATGATGCAGAATTAAATGAAACAAATATGCAAAAAAAAAAATTAAGTCTTAAGTTTTCACATTTATGAGCATTTTCAGAAAATCTTTGTTCTTGTAGGGAAAAGAGAAGCAGTTCACAGATAATGTTGATGAGCTGAGATCAGAAGATTAAAAAAACTCTGGCTGCCAAAAAAAAAATCCAGGATCTTGAAGAAAAACAAAAGAAAGGAATGAAAATATGAATCGTAATCGATCAAAGTATCCAAGTGACGAAATTCTGAAAATTCCACAGGGAAAGCCAATAAGATTTTTTTATTTGACCACCTCTTCTCAAAATCCTTGAAAGCCCTTTTAGCTGATGCCCTAATTGCTGAACACACTTTTCTGCCAGATAATGAGACTTGGATTAAAAATCATTCCATTTTAGGCATAACGTTACACTTTGAAATACGCTGAATAAGGAACCCACACTCCTCTTGACCAAGTAAGGTTAAGGATTCTGCAAAGAGTCGCGTTTGAATTAAATTTTTCATAATTTTACTAGGAATGAACTACATAATTTATTTATTATCGATATCACTTATCAGAGTTATTTACTTAAACAAAGATTTTGTTACCATGATTGGAAAACAAAAATTATATAAAACTTAAGATGCTATTAAAATATTTTCTTTACAGTTTTTCATTTTGCATAATTTATTACATTTTTGTTTACAAAAAGTAAGAACATTCATGAATAGTTCATGAACATTCCTAAATAACTTTTATAAATTATTCATGAATAGTTCATGAAAATGCATTGAACCTATTAATATCATTCATGAACTTTTCTTGAAAGTTCAAGAACATAATTCATGAAGTTTTCTTGAAAGTTCAAGAATTATTCTTGATCATTTTGCAGGCAATTAAAAAATCCAAGTTTGTTCATGAACAACAAATAATTCTTGAATATTCTTGAACTTGGTTTTCATGTAACACCGAACACGATCATCACAAATTGAAAAGAAAACAAAACCCCCAGTAAAATGATTTTAAAATTGCATACAAGGCAGGATACGAAACAATCAATACCTCCTTTTATATTCACTTTAGATTTAAATCTACTTTACGGATAAAACAAAATTTTAAATGTACCGAGAGAATTGTAAAATGTTATGAGATGAAATATCATGGCTAGTCTTAAATATATTTTGGTCTGTTCATTAATAAATGCTTTCTTTATTAGGTAAATACCATACCTATCCACCAGAAGCCCGGTGTCTATTGTATTGCTTATTGTTAACTGAGAATTATCAGGTGAATCTCAATGAACAATCAGAAAACAGTATAAAAGACAAAATCAGAGACAGATATTTCCCTGATATTAATGATGACGGTTCGGTAGAGCTTCCTGATGAAATCACAGAGACATGTGACGGTGTGATAACCTTTATATCAGACGACATCCGACATGATGTCATGTACGCCTTTGTTACGGAGTGTCTGGTGGAGGACAGTGATCTGGAGTTTTTCCTGACCACGGCGTCTCGTGACGTTATATCAGAATACTGCCGGTCCTGGGATTATGAGAGGAGTGAGGGAGAGAGATGTCTTTATGTACCGGACACACCGGGGAAGATGTTCAACCTCTTCATAAACAATCTACAGCTGGATATCATCACACACTGTACCGTGTCTGACAAGGGGATTCATTACAGGATCAGTAGACGTTGTGCGTATTTATTTAGCATAGTTATTAACTATTTGCTAAAAAGGTAGTGGCATATACATGTAGCAAATTTAAATGTGCATTGGAAATAATTGTGGATTATATATTTATGGACTTCTTAACTCTTTCGTGTTTCATTAAATTATTTTGTTTAAATATATTAACTAAATAAGATATTTACATATATTTATTATGCCTCTACTGATTTTTTTCTGTATAAGATTAAGTGATTATATCTGAACAATTCTCTAAAAATTGCTGTGCATCGGCTAATCCTCGTGCGTTAGTTTTTTTTAGCTAATCCCTCCGTCGAAAGCATACAAGTCATGCTAATTCGCAGCTCTCCGTAATCCTCTAGTTTTTCAATAAATATAAATTGTGATTTTATTCAGTTATGAGAATAATGATTAGTAAATCTGTACATAAATATTTTTATTTTATGAAAGGTGATCTTTACAATTTAGATTTGTGTCGGTATAATAAAACAGTTAAACTATTTTAAACTATATTTTCCTTCAAAAGCAAAACTCAGTATGACTATGAGCACGGATATAGCGAATTTTTTTTTAGATCCCCAGCTATATAAATTTAACAAATTCCTTATACGGATATAGCGAAGTTATTTTATTGGTCCCTGTGATTTCGTTATAATCGAGTTTTACTGTATCATTTAGGGAGTTAGCAATATTCCAGTTCCCCAAGACCAGAACTATAGTCCCTCAATGATAAACTTTAGCTGTATAATACTATGAATTCCTATTATTAAGTTTGAAGACACTTAGTTACACGTGTGTAATCGATTGTACATGTATATTGTTTAACATCCTGTAATCGAAGATGTAGTATATATATGAGTCTGTGTTTTACAAAACTTTAACCTATAACTTTTGAAAGAGTGGGCTATGATTGTCTTGTTTGTATATATATATTTTCTTTGTAACAATTAAAGACCATTCATTAGTTACTTATATACCTTCGAGTTTGACCCTTTAACCTTGGCCATAACTTTTATACAGTTAATACTAGGGTTTTCATTCACACGTATATTCCTTTTAATTAGACCTTTCCGTGGACACGAACTTTGACCTTTTTACCTATATGCTGCTATAAGGGACATCAGTGTTTTACAAATACATTTCGTAATTGCATGTTTTTCCTGTTTTCGTCAGAGAGATGCAAGAGAATTAATCGTTGAGCACCAAACATTAACATCAATTGACTTTTATATAAAATGTGTATCACTCTGTTGGAATTAGGGTTATTTTTCGAAGGGAGTCATTTTGATAATAATTAAATGATAACTCTAGTTGAATACATTTTAGGGGAGATATGGAAAATATTTGATTCTCCAAGTCTAAGGAGAAAAAATTCAAAGAATCATTCACTTTTCTTCACAAAGTGTGATATGGTATTCAGTCTCCTCCAAGTATTATTTGTCCTTAATTCAAACAAAAAGCCCAGGGGCCACATCGCTCAAATGAGCACACCGGCTAGGAAAAAGCACGTATCAGATCAGAACTAAAAGTTTCATGAGGCAGGAGGGGGCTTAAATTTTAACCCCTCAGGGGGTCATGATTTGAACAAACTAGAATCTATACTACCTGAGGATGATTTATTTAAGGAATTACTATCTGGTTTGGAGAGTATGCCAGGACATCAACAATAGCGTGAAACATTGGATAATTTGCATAACGGGCGAAGCCCGTTATGCTGAAATTATCCCATGTTTCCCACTATTGTTGATGTCCCTGGCATAGTCTCCTAACTAGACAGTGATTCCTTATTTTTCCATTTCATTGTGAAATAAAATTGTAGACTTGGACATTCAAAATGTTGACCAATAGATTTAAATAACACGATGACTTCCATGCCAATTTCAATAGTGCTCGCACACTGACGTCAAACACAAAGGCAGCCGCACGAGATTTGCATGCATATTTGGCTCATTAGCATCAGACACAGATGCGCACGAGATTTGCATGCGTATTAGGCCTCCTTAGCTGCTGACATATCGACCAGCCTAATTTACATTTCGGCAGAATTATCAAGAAATAAACTCCCCCATCTTTCAAACAGTTATCACAGAGAAAAAAAAATAGAAATGGAAATATAGAAATATCACTAATCATGGCTTTGAAGTACCTGAAAAGAAGATTTCAAAAGATTTTCCTATATATTCCCATGTAAAACTTTCATAGGCCATTTCGGCCCCACCATACACACAGTGGTCATGATTTGAACCCATTTAAATCTACACTACCTGAGGATTATTTCGCTTGAGTTTCATCTTTCCTGGCCCAGTGGTTCTTTAGGATTAGATTTCTAAAAAAAAATTCAATAATTTTTCTCTTATTCATAATTATCTATACCCTTCGAAAAAGGTTTGGCCCTTCATTTGAACAAAATTGAATCCCCTTTGCCCGAGGCTACTTTATAGCAAATTTGATTGAAATTAGCCCAGTGGTTCTTGAGAAGAAGATGAAAATGTGAAAAGCTAACAACAACGACGACGACAGACAACGGACAAATTTTGATCAGAAAATCCACTTGAGCCTTCGGCTCAGGGAAGCTAAATAGCTATGAATTGAAGGTTTTCCTGTTTTTATATGCACCGATAGAATTATTGACTGATAAACCTGACAAATCATACAAATTGCAATGATTTAATTAATAGCGTTTTTGAGGGAAACTAAGTTAATTGCAGATATTTCAAACACTGTTTTAAAACAAGAAAATTCAAAGAATTGTGGTCCCCCGCTTTCGGTGTCTTTGTGGGTGAGTTGTCAAATATGAACGCCCTATCATATGTCATTTAGAAATTATCACCAAAGTTTATCTTTTTAAAATAAGGTCAATCGTGAAGGCCAAGGTTAAAGTGTAAGAAATCATAGCAAGCTCGGAAATATCTTGTAATAGGTAATGCACATGTCAAATATGAAGGCCCTATCTCTTCTCAATCAAAACTTAAAAGGAATAAGGTGTGTTTGTGAAACCCTGTATGGCGACTAAGCGAAGATAAAACTTTTCTTAAATGTAAATAAAATATTTTGGTACCCAAATCTTAAAAGTAGGTCAAACTTCAAGGTCAAGGTTAAAGGATCAAAGTTCTTGGTGTCCAATGAAATGTCTTCTCACAAGGATAACTTATATGAGGTATGAAAGCATTATCAAGGTTAATTTTTTTTTAAAATGGGTCAAACTCCAAGGTAAAGGTCAGAAGGTCAAAATTCTTGTTATCAATGAAAGGCCTGTCACAAGGATTATAAATGTGAAGAATGAAAGCTCTAGCCCTTATCATTCAAAAGTGATGACCAAAGTAAAAATTCAAACTTTTTGTGTAAAAGTGGGTCAAACTCCAAAGTCAAGATCAAAAGGTCAAATTTGGTGGTACCCGAAGAAAGGTCTTGTCACAAGAAATACACATGTGAAATATGAAAGTCATAGCTCCATTTAAGCAAAAGTTATGAGCAAGGTTAATTTTTTTGTGACGGACGGACAGACAGAGGAATGAGATTTAATGTCCCCTTGCTTTTGCAAAAGCGGGGGAGAATAACACAAGTAACAGCTTTTAACAAGCTTGCCTGACCTAATCAATCAATATGTGCATGCGCAGTGATAAACCTTATAAGCAATACTTTTGTGGTTATAAAATAAGTCCTTACGTTATATTTTGAACTTGTGTAAACAAGCAACTTCAAAGAATTGTGGTCCCCCGCTTTCGGTGTCTTTGTGGGTGGGATGTCAAATGTTAACGCCTTATCATATGTCATTAAGAAATTATCAAAGTTGATTTTTTTTTAAAATAAGGTCAATCGTGAAGATCAAGTTCAAGGAGTCAGAGGTTATAGCATGCTTGAAATATCTTGTCATAGGTAATACATATGTCAAATATGAAAGCCCTATCTCTTCTCAATCAAAAGTTAAAAGGAACAAAATGCGTTTGTGAAACAGTGATGACCCTGTATGGAAACAAAGCGAAGATTAAATTTTTTTTTAAAATGTAAATTAAATATATTGGTAATCAAAGTTTAAAAAGTATGTCAAACTGCAAGGTCAAGGTAAACGGATCAAAGTTCTTGGTATTCAGTGAAAGGTCTTCTTTAGTATTTTTTATGTGAAGTATGAAAGCCCTAGCCCTAACCATTCAAGTGTTATGGCCAAGGTTAAATCTTTTAAAAAGTAGGTCAAACTCAAAGATCAAGGTGAAAGGGTGTAAGTGCTTGATATCAAATGAAAGGTCTTGCCACAAGGATTAAATATTTGAGGTATGAAAACCCTAGCCCTAACCCTTCAAAAAGTTATGGCCACGGTTAACATTTTTAAAAGTGGGCCAAACTCCAAGGCCAAGTTCAGAAGGTCAAAGTTCTTGTTATCCCATGAAAGGACTTCTCTCAATGATTATCTATATGAAGAATGAAAGCCCTAGTCTTTACTGTCTTTAAGTAATGGCCAAGGTTAATGTTTTTTTCAAAAGTACAGAAATCTCCAAGGTCAAGGTCAAAAGGTCAAAGTTCTTGATATCCAATGAAAGGTCTTGCCACAAACAATACATATGTGAAATATAAAAAAGTCCTAGTATTTACCGTTCAAAAGTTATGCAAAAAAAAAATAAATAAAATTTTGTGTAAAAGTGGGTAAAACTCTAAGGTCAAGGTCAAAAGGTGAAATGTGGTGGTACCAAAAGAAAAGTCTTGTCACAAGGAATACACATGTGAAATATAAAAATCATAGGTCCACTCAATCAAAAGTTATGGGCAAAGTGTTTTTTTGACGGACGGAAAGACAGACAGACTGACAGACAGACGAGGAGATTTAATGTCCCTTCGCTTTCGCGAAAGCGGGGGACAACAAGGAAGGATTACTTATGTGAAGTATGAAAGCCCTAGCCCTTACCATTCAAAAGTTATATCCAAGGTTAAATCTTTTAAAAAGAAGGTCAAACTCCAAGATCAGGGTGAAAGGGTGTAAGTGCTTGATATCAAATGAAAGGTCTTGTCACAAGGATTAAATATTTGAGGTATGAAAACCCTAGCCCTAACCCTTCACAAAAGTTATGGTCACGGTTAAAATTTTTAAAAGTGGGCCAAACTCCAAGTTCAGAAGGTCAAAGTTCTTGTTATCCCATGAAAGGACTTCTCTCAAGGATTATCTATATGAAGAATGAAAGCCCTAGTCTTTACTGTCTTTAAGTAATGGCCAAGGTTAATGTTTTTTTTTCAAAAGTACAGAAATCTCCAAGGTCAAGGTCAAAAAGTCAAAGTTCTTGATATCCAATGAAAGTTCTTGCCACAAACAATACATATGTGAAATATAAAAAGTCCTAGTATCTACCGTTCAAAAGTTATGCCAAAAATAAAAAAAAATAAAAATTTTGTGTAAAAGTGGGTCAAACTCTAAGGTCAAGGTCAAAAGGTAAAATTTGGTGGTACCCAAAGAAAGGTCTTGTCACGAGGAATACACATGTGAAATATGAAAGTCATAGGTCCACTAAATCAAAAGTTATGGGCAAGGTGTTTTTGTGACAGACTGACAGACAGACGAATGAGATTTAATGTCCCCTCGCTTTCTTAAAATCCTGATTTCATTTAACTTGAACAAGAATCATCTCTACACTGCATACTAAAGAGTTGTTATACTCTGCGTGTGGAAATTTGCTAGTGGGTTGATCTGTACGGAAGCCCGTTGAGGCCAGTTGAGAGCGAGAAATATCTTTTATTGCGTTTAATCGCAATAATTATTGCGTTTAAACGCAAAACATTGCGTCTGATCGCAATAATTATTGCGTTTAAATGCAAAACATTGCGATTAATCGCAATAATCATTGCGTTTAAACGCAAACTACTTTGCGTTTAATCGCAATCTTTTGCATTTAATCGCAAAAGATTGCGTTTAAACGCCATACTTTTGCGATTGAACGCAATACTTTTTGCTTTTAAACGCAATAATATTTTTGCATTTAATCGCAATATTTTTTGCGTTTAAATGCAATACTTTTACGATTAAACGCTATACGTTTTGCGTCAGAAATCAGAGAATGGCAACTAAGCGAAGATAAAACTTTTCTTAAATGCAAATAAAATATTTTGGTACACAAATTTTAGAAGTAGGTCACAAAATCAAACGGCTCTTCTTTAAAGAATCGCACCGTTGTATTTATAATAATCTTTGCATTTAGATATAAAAAAAATATTGCTATCAAACGTGTCAGTAAACCCGCGACCTACGTTAAGAATGTTTCAGTGGTATTTATAGACATATGTAACAATTTGGTAGAACACATCGGCGAATCTGTTTTCTTTTGATTTTTTTTTATTTCATATATGATTCCATCTCATAAATTCTCGTTTCTCGTGTTTACTGTATGTGATCAAAGGAAAGGTTGTGAATATACATATACATAATATGTACAATTGTAAATTAAGTCGAAACATTTTATCGGTTGTTTCCTTTAGCCCTTTATACATGTACAGACTTTTAAACAAATAGCAATGATTTAACCATTCAGAAAATGTTTGACTAGAGGACTTTGATTCTATTAAGCTTAACAATGCACAATTCTCCTCAAAGTCATAAGTTACTACATATCAGCATGGTCCATTGACTCCTCAAAGATCAATAGAAATGATTGCTTTAAATAAAAAGATTATCGCGTTTAAATGCAAATGCAAAAGAATTATTGCGTTTAATCGAGTTGGTCCAAAATTTAACGCACTTCGAAAATTTTTTCAAACTGCGTTGATTTTGTCCCAATTTTAACACTCTTTGCAAAAAAATTTTCAAAGTGCATATCCACATTGCTTTTAAATGCAAAACATTGCGTTTAAACGCATTTTTTTGCGATTAAACGCAAAATGCTTTATCACTGGGCCATTTTAACGACACTTGCCACAAAGTATCTTTTGGTAAAGGGGATTCAAGTTTGTTCGCCCTTTTCCAAGGGTAGATAATTATGAATTAATGAAAAATTAATGGTATCTTATAAAAATCTTATTCTCCAGAACCACTGAGCTAGGAAAGATGGAAACATGAGAAAGCATCCTCAGGTATTATAGATTCAAGTTTTTTTCAAATCCTGGCCACCTGGGGTAGGGCGGGACCAGAATGGCCGACCAAAGTTTTACAAAGAAATACATAGGAAATTTTTTTTTTAAAAATCATCTTCTCTAGGAAAGCAAAGCCATAATTGATCGTATTTATTTGAAAGTATCCTCAGGTGGTATAGATTCAAGTTTGTTAAAATCATGACCCCCGAGGGTAGGGCGGGGCCATAATGGCCAACCAAAGTTTTACATAGAAATATTTAGGAAAATTCTTTAAAAATCTTCTTCTCAAGAAAAGCAAAGGCATAATTGATCATATTTGTATGGAAGCATCTTCCGGTATTGTTGATTCAAGTTTGTTCAAATCATGACCCCCGGGGTAAGGGGGAACCACAATTGCTAACCAAATTTTTACATAGAAATATTTAGGAAAATTCTTTAAAAATCTTCTTCTCAAGAATAGCTTATTTATTTAGAAGCATCCTCAGGTATTGTAGATTCAAATTTGTTCAAATCATGACCCTTGGGGTAGGGTGGGGCCACAATAGCCAACCAAATTTTTACGTGGAAATATTTAGGAAAATTTTTTGAAAATCTTCTCAAGAATAGCAAAGGCATAATTTATCATATTTATATGAAAGCATCCTCAGGTAATGTAGGTTCAAGTTTGTAAAAATCATGACCCCTGGGGTAGGGCGGGGCAACAATGGCCGACCAAATTTTCAAGAATTCTGAAGAATAGCAAAGCAATGAATGGTCATGGGACTACGTTTTGATTTAAACTTTTCAATAATAAACTTCTACTTTTTCCTTACTACAGTGCTCAAGTGAGCCCCCATGGTCCTCTTGTTAAGTTTTTTTGTACCTCCTAAATTAAAAAACCTATTGCTATCCGATTTCGTCCGTCGTCGTGCGTTGTGCTTCGTACGTTAACATTTGAACATTGTCAGATTCTTCTCTGCAACCACTGAACCAATTTTAACCAAATTAAGCACAAAGCATTAATGAATGAAGGGTAACAAATTTGGGAATTTCATGATTCCTGCCCAACCCCCTCCACCCCCTAGGGTCTAAAGGATGGGGCCAAAACCACTAAAATTAATGCAATCTTTAAAAATCTTCTTTACTCCTGGACATCAAGCAGTCAAACTGTTTGCATGATTTTAATCAGCATTCACTCTTCTACCAAAATTGTGAAATTCATGGCCTTGGAATCAGGGGTTCTAGTGCTAGGACGGGGCTAAATAAGTATATAGTGAAAATACATTATTCCTTTGAAAATCTTCTTCTCTGCTTCTAGGTATTAGATAAACTAAGTAAGTGCATAGTTATGATGAGCAAGAGTGCCTCTACCATAATTATTAATTTTAGGGCCCTAGGGTTAGGGGTTCTGGTATTAGGGCGGGGCTCTATTGATTATATAGTGAAAAAAACATGAACATTTTCTTCTCTGTTCTTAGATACTAAATAAACCAACTAAGTGCATAGTTATAATGAGCAAGAATGCTTCTACCAAAATTGTGAATTTTAGGGCCCCAGGGTCAGGGGTTCTGGTGTTATGGGGGGCATTTTTAATTATATATTGAAAATACATGAATTCTTTGAAAATCTTTTCTGCTTCTAGGTATCAAATAAAGTAAGTGCATAGTTATCATGAGCAAGAGTGCCTCTACCGAAATTGTGAATTTAAGGGCCCCAGGGTCAGGGGTGCTGGTGTTAGGGGGGAGAGTGGCTCTATTTATTATGTAGCGAGAATAAGTAAATTCTTTGAAAATCTTCTTCTCTGCTCCTACGTATCAAATAAAATAACTTAGTGCATTGTTGTAATAATCAGTAAGAGTGCCTCTACAAAAATTGTGAATTTTAGTGCCCCGGGGTCAGAGGTTTTGGTGTAAGGGGGGGGGGGGGGTCTCTAAAATAAAAGTATATAAAATGTTTGAAAATTTTCTTCTCTGCTCCTGGGTATTAAGCAGATGAAATACTTATATAGTTATGAGCAAGGGCCCTAATCTTCCAGAATTGTGAGACCCCGGGTCAGGGGTACCATAGAAGGGGGGGGGCTGTACTTACAGACTGAAAATGAATAATTGTTTAAAATTTGCTCCATGGTATTAATCAAATACTTTTTGAAAAGCAAAGTTGCCTTTCCAAAAACTGTGCAATGCGTGGATCTACACCTAAGGGTCAGGGGTTCTTGTGTGGTAGGGGCACTACTGATTATTGCTGATTATTACTGATTAGTTAAGATGCATTTTTGTTCCTCTACCCTGCCAATGGGTATTAAGTAACCAAACTAAGCAACTGCAAAGTGTATAGTTATGATAATTAATGGTGCGTCTTTCAAAATTCTGAATGCCATAGCATCTGGCTTAAAAAATGAATCGAATTCAGTCACTGGAAAGTTGTTGCATAATGCTCAGGTGATCTTTATGGCCCATGGGCCTCTTGTCTTTCTTTTTTTTAGTTATCTATTTTGTTCGCTTTCTTGCACTTGTAGCTTTAATGCAGTTTTGCCTCTATCGTATCAGCTTATAAAGACGTAGAATCATTAAACCTCCTTATTTGATCCAAATTAAAAAAAAACTAATAACAGCCAGCAGATGCGTAGGAATTTTACATTCTCGTATATTCAAAAAGCAGGTTAGAATCGTATTTAAAGTTTTTTTTTCATACATGCACATTTACATTTCCATGCCCAGGTCATAAATGACACATAATGTGTCCAATTGTGTCTATTTTGAAATGTAAGACAACTCTTATCCTATCCAATTTCAGAGAGAAAATTAGGCATCGTTATTATCAAATACTACAAAATATAAATAATTACAAATCTTAATTTTTATCTAGTAAACATACCAGAGGAAATTTTGAAATGGGATTTGAGTGCCAGAGAAAGATTTGCTGAGAGTCTCCGCCAAGGAAAGGTTAAGATGTTCCGTGCAAGAGGAATGATTGTGGGATGCGCAGGCGCAGGTAAAACAACTCTTCTTAGAAAGCTCCAAAGGAAATACAGAGAAGATAACCAATCTACAGAGACAACTGTCGGTCTAGAGGTCTACGAAGACTTGTTTGAAATTAAAGATGGCACTTTACATGGTAATTCTTCTTTAACATATCAACAGTTTCACATTAGATTTCAACTGATTCTAGAACACATGCATTTATACTGCTGATATTTTATTAATGCGCTTGAAGTCACTATCATCTCTTTTGCTTTCATCAATGACTGATTCACAATACTGAAAATTACTAAATTTTTGCGACACCTTATTTTCGCGAGATAGTCATTGATTCTTAGTAAGCGAAACATTATTGTTATTGCTCCATAAAATCAAATTATTAATAATACAGGAATAACATTTTCGCAAAATCACTGTCTCGCGTATCTCGCTTGCGCAAAAATAAAGTTCTCGTTAAATTTTCCCTAATTTTTTTTTATCTTATCAGATTTCAGTGTTAATGCTGAAGATTTTAATGATCCTTTTGAAAGATTTCTACGGCTTAACAAGGAGGAAGAAGGAAAAGTTATCCAAGGTATTCATCTTCACAGCAGCCGCGGTACAAAGCTGATCAGTATGACAGACTTTGCCGGACAAGTAGCTTATTATGCATGTCACCAGGTTTACTTGTCACGGAGAGCGTTTTATATCGTGGTTATTGATATGTCAAAGGGTTTAGATGAAGAAGTTAGACTTTATGACACTGATCGCCATAACCCTGAGGGATCTTTGTTTCATTCCTGGAAATATAAAGGTAAATTCCAATTAAAAAACAATGATTTTCTTTTTTATTCTACACACCAGTGGATGTTCAATCTATACTTATTTTTACACGTACAACCCTAAAATTCACATCATAACATTTTAACTTTAAGGTACCTTTTATCATGTATATTTTCAAACGATTCAACATTACAGAGATAAAAGCATGTGTCTATTTCACCAATAAAAATATTACGGTGCAAATCAAATATTAAATAATGACCCTGTGATTAAATAATTCTTTATGATATACAGGTACATTTACGTAATGATTGATGATATAATTAAATAAGATTTTTGTCAACAAATTAAAGAACATTGTAGAGTCTCATGTTGACTGCAATGTTATGCATTTCAAAGTTTTTTTTATGTTTAGAGTCGACTGACGAATTGGTTTTTTGAAGTTAAGAAATTGTAAACAAACGCAAATTAAGAACAAAAATATTTATATTTGAAACGCAATGAACTCTTTTAGTATCGGTATCGTTATTTTAAGTCTTGTACTAAATTATATTTGTTTCAATAAAGTAGCAGTTTACAGGTAGAAATTACAAACGATGGGAATTATTTAATGTAAATTTCAAATTCTTTTTCTTTAAATGTCTCATTAAATACGAAATTAAGGGGGCCGACTATAGTTCATCACTTCCAAAAAGATAGACTTTGGCACGATAAAGATTTCTCAATGGTCGTAAGTGCCATTTATGGGGGCCGACTATAGTTTTATTGTGTGAAAACTACAATACCGAAACTCTTCATTTTTATACTATATATAACTTACATTAACTTCAGTGTACATGCAAAGTTTGGGGGAAATCTACCGTCCAGGTATTTTTGAGGGACCGTCTCAAAATACAGGTACATTTACTATAGGATTATATAGGAAAATGCCAATTTTTAGCACTTTAAAGCAAATTATACAAATACTACAATAGACATTTTGTTCAAACTATAATATTTGACGAGTAATACAATATTATACAATATTTAAGAAATACAAAATTCTACCGTCTTGTTACCAGAGGGGGCATCTCGAAATGCAAAAAATTAGCAGAATTTTACTATTTTTATAGAATATTACAAAATATGACGTACACAATGGATTCACGTGAAAACATAAAATTAATATTGGAGATATTCTCAAATTTCTTCGTTTTAAATTTCAAGAGCATATGTTAATTACTTTTCTTTAATAATATTTTTATTACCCCTTTCTTTAAGATCTACAGATTATCATAATGTCAAAAACACACTGCAACGACGTCAACCTACCTATCAATTGCAAAATCGGTTAAAAAATTTGTTTTATCAAATTGTAATTACATTTTTTACCTATAATTTCTTAATTTTGTTTAATTTTAATAAATAAGCGAAAAAAGTTGCATTAAAACAGTGAATACGCATCATTTTACTATGATGCGCGAAAGACTGCGCAATGGAAACTATAGTCGGCCCCCTTAAATATGTTCATAAACCATTATCATATCTAGGTTAGTTTTTTCTCTTCCTCATCAACATTTTCTTTGCTCATGCAATCGTGCATATTTGAAAGTCATGAAAATGATACAAAAGAAAAATAAACTTGATCACAGATAACCAGCGATTGGCAAATTCGATCAGAGATAAGCTCTTCAGACTTACGCAATTTGATTAGTCTATTCATAGTGATTTTAAAAACTTAAACATTAAAGTAAACTAATGTTATGTAGGGAAAATCAGAAGAGGTGTGATACAACCAAATAACAAATGTTATATAATACATGTAGTATGTGTTAATTCCTTTGATTATTAGAGAAGTTATTTTTCACTAACTGCAGGAAGGTGTCATAACGAATTGAATTCTTAATTTTAGCATACATTATACGATCGTAGTTTTTGATGTTGGGGGTTCCTTCAATGCGTACATTCTTATGTTATTGATCTTTTCAGACTATTTTCATTTCTGGTTGCAATCCATACAAACATACTGTGATATCGGAAAAACACACACAATCCAGGAAACCATGGAGTCAAAAGCCAGCTTTCATCCTGTTATTATTGTTGCTTCCCATGCAGACAAAGTGGTAATAATTCAATACAAATCCTACAAAACAAAGAACACAAAAATTAGTTTGCTAATGCTTGATAAACAAATGTTTCACGATCTAACATCTTTACATTGTAAACGTATTACATTTAGTGATGAATTGTATTTAGCGATTTTGGCGGAAAGTAAAGTCTATACTAAATGTGTTTGTACATTGACTTTTATTTCAGCAAATTGAGACAGTCCTAAATCAAACCTTCGCTAATTTGTTCAAAACTGAATTTCCGCCAAATATCGTACCATCCAAATGCAATACATTTACAGTATTCAAGATTTTATCACTTTACACAAACATGACAAAAGGCATACGGCAAGTATGACCGGTTGAAGGAAATTCCCACTCCTCACTGCCACATAGTCCCACTCTGTTCTTAGGGTCCATGTTTGCTTTACTCATTAATTGTAACCTTTTATCGGACTTTGAGAACTTAATTATAGCACTTTACAAATGACAAAAACATATATGTATATATTAAATGTTTTACATTAGACACACATTTATTGAATTTGTATATTGTGCATTTATCCTTGTAAGATATCAGCAAATCAAGTAGAATTCCAAGAAGATCGTTAGGGTCTCATCTATACAATAAGCAACGGAACTTCTTGGGTACATGTAACAAACATTTCTAGATCAATTATTATAATTGAAGTGTACAACTTTTGGTGGAAATCCATTTTTCAGCAAGTTAGTGATGGTTTGATTTAGCGCTATCTAACATGTCTAAGTGTGTTAGATGTAAAGGTACATGTAAAATATACAAATAAAAGAATATACAAGATATTTTTGGATGTACTTGATTTAGTTGATTCTGCATTCCACAAAAATCTCTAAATAGAAGAAACCGCCAAATGTTATGTTTACAGTAGATTCATCTATCAGTTAATTTTGTTTAACACTTCTATTGATTGTTTACAATGTATTATCATAATCAGGTAACCGTTAATTATAAGGCCCTTTAGAACCTTGGTTTTACTTTTCAATCTATAACTATTTTCATTGATACATTTGTAAATTCTTTTTAAGACTAACATGTTGAAACCACAATCTTAAATTGTTTTTAAGCTGAAAGAGGATATGCTGAGAACGTTTTACGATGAACTGGAGAACTGCTTATCTGATGATCAATCTTTGAAACATCTTATATCTCCAAACAGATATTTTATTGTCGAATGTCCACCAGATGAATTGTCGCCAAAACAACAGGACTCAATTGAATGCCTCAGAAAATGTATAGTAGAAACTGTAGAAAAGATGCCACAGTGGGGAGAAATAATTCCTTTGAAATGGGCAAATCTTGAGAAAGTCCTGATGCAGATGAAAGAGAATGGAAAGAAAGTTATTTCAGTACAACAAATAAAAGAATTAAACAATACGGATTTACCTAGCGATAGAGATCTTGATGATGGCCTTAGGTTCCTACATGAAATAGGTCAAATCGTTTATTTTGCTGAGGAGAAAATGAAAAATGTTATAATTATTGATGTTCAGTGGTTTGTCGATGCTTTCAAATACATCATTACTGATGAAAAACATCTAGCTAGAATGGTGAGCAAAAATAAATTGATTAACACAGGAAGAATAACTGAATCTGAACTGAGAGAAATATGGGAATGTACTAGAGACAGCTCTTATATTCAGCATAAAGATAAAAATTTACCATACATGGACAAACTTGGATTAATGACAGAAATTCAGGATGATCCTAGCGGTAAAACTTATTACATCCCAAGCATGAACAGAACTGAGCTTACTGATAAATGTAGAGATGCAATCAACAAGGGACAGAAAACATCCATTATGGTGTTCCATTTCAAAACGTACTTGCCTCATTTTTTCTTCTTTAGGTTGGTAGTAAACTGCTTTAGGGAATGGAAGGCACTTGATATGGCGTTCATTTGTAAAAATGCAGCATTCTACATGGTAGAAGATGCGAGCCACTACATTGCAATTGCCGTTAACAAAACGTCAATCCAGTTACAGGTTTTTACTGCAGATAAAGATATGGATCTGCAGTCCCAATGCGTCATACAGATCAGAAATACAGTGGAACGTCTAATTGACGAAATAACGCAAACGTTTCACAGACACATTGAATATGAGAGGGGGTTTTCTTGTACAGATATAAACATTACAGATGAGGATGACGAGTATTTTTTGAAGGAAAGTCAAATTGTAGGAATAAAAACAATCACTGGAAAAGAAGAAAGACCGTGCCCGAAACATGTTCTCCAAAACCCGCATGATATTAACAAATCTAAAATGATGCAATTCTGGTTCAAATAAATCGTTACTTCCTTTTTCACATTCGTAAAAATAAGAAAGACGGTGGAGAGTCTGATTACAGAAATAACGCAAACTTTTCACAGAGATATTGATTATAAGATTTGATTTTCTGTCAGAAAAGAACATTACAGATGAAGATCAAGATTTTTTTTTATTGGTGACGTTATGAAAGTAAAAACAAGTTCTGGTAAATAGCCAAGGCCTTGTCCAAAGCACACCATGGATTACACTCATCAATTTGACAAACAAGGTATACTGAGATTGCAAAAAGAAAATGTTATATTTTATTCGACAAAAATCTTGCTAATGTTCAAAGAAAATTTCTTTTATATTTTTGCTATATATGCTTATGTGTATTTATTTAGAGTTATAATTTCAGCTCATATCCTTCATTTAAGCTTTACTTAAATGTCAGGTGTTAATTTTATTACTCTGAAAGGGTATTGCAATATTTGAAATCAAAATAATGTAAATAATTTATAGAGTGTCAAAATCATTCACGTTTATTCAGTATAACTAACTCAGGCAGTATTATGAATTCAACAAATGTAATCATTTTCCATTTACAATGTCATTAAATATGATTGACAGCAAAGTTAGATAGTTATCCTTTTTTACTATAAATATTAAAAAATATTGAAATGTATACTTAGTACTCAACAACATTTTCTTGACAAGATTTTTTAAATATAAATAGCCAGGTGCATTTAATTTTTGATTTGATTGTTTATTATTATATTTCATGGCCTATGGTGTAAATGGAACTAATTGTCATTAATATGTGCATGTTTATTATGTTATTTTTCACTTTGTATATCATTTCTGTAACGTAGTAATCATTGTAGAATTAAAACTTTTATTTCGATTGCAAGCGCAAGGGAGCTTCATCCATTAAAGGCCCTAGGACATAGAATTGAAGATAATATTTTCTCAATCTTATGGTATAATATCATGATTTCATAATATAATATGATATATGTTGCTATTGATAGCATTTCCACACGGAAACATAGTAATACATATACCTTTTCTTAAAATTATTTAAACTACGAATTTCGAGACGCTTGCTTAATACATCCTTGCTCTGTCATTAAGCAAATTTTATTCTTAATACTGAAGAAATGTAATAAATTTGGATGTGTATTAATGAAAAATATTCAAACTACTTTCCAGAATATAAAGAGTAGAAAAGTGAGAGAAAAAAAAACAATTCAGTGTTATCAGTCCGTGCTCGGTGATTTGTGCAGAATTTAACACATTTAAACTGACTACACCCGGTGAAACGCTAACATTAACATAACAGAGCTCGTGTCAATCCTGTTTACCAAAACAGTTTATGTTTCACATGTGTGTGCTATTTTTATTTATATTTCCATGTAAAATGCTATATAACATTAAGATAAGTTATGATATTATACCAAAATTATGAGAAAATATTAACGTCAAAGCTGTGTCCGAGCACTTTTAAAGCTGACTATAAATAGTTTATTTAAGTCTGCAAAGATGTAAATGTACACGTATTTTGCATGTCATTGTATATAAATGAATAAAACGGTTGAACAAGACGTTTCTGAATTATTTGGATGCGACAACGATTCTGCAAAAAAAAAAAAATAATAATAAAATTCCCGTATGTACATGCAGTACATTAATTTAGAAATGTACAAAACTTATGGTACGTAAAATATGCAAAAGCAACCCCGTTTTTATGTACATGTATGACACAAGAAATGGTAAAGGGGGATGCCTATGTTTGATAATTCAGGAGAAACAATGTTTATGACGTCAATAAAGGCCGAAGTCAGTGTCACTGCCCGCCTTTAAAATTCCGAACTCGCCTACACATGGCGGAGTGGTAATAGCATATACTCCATAGAGTGTAGGAAAAGGAGTTACGTCAACTCTTGGATTCAAATCTCATTGTGCGAGGTGGATAAGTGTCCTTCGAATGACACTCTATAAGTCGAGGTCCCGTGTCTCAGAAGGTATTTGCACGAGAACGATCCCTCACTGTCCAATGGTCATAAGTGCCAAGTACATATAAAACTTTTTAGCCTTCCACAAGCAAGTGTCTCTATATTAGTGAAATGTTCGCCAGTGATCTAGAGATGCAATAATATATTTAAGGTATTAATATATCTAAGGATTGACTCTACTTCATGGCCAAATTATTTGAGTATTACCTGGTTGGTGTCTGTTAAAGCTTTATATAATCCGTGGAATTACAGTCATTCCTTATAATTTGATTAATGTTCCGCTAAATAATTATGATAATACAACTGTAGTAAGGAAAGTGATGGGAAGCGAAGGGATGTTAAATCTGATACACAGGTCTAGCAGCCATGATGTTGTATACATGTGGTAAGATTGAGTTATTTGAAGTTAATGGTGCATAAAGTTATTAATTATTTATAAATCTGGAATTTTCCATGAAATCCCGAAGACTGGAAATGACAGAATTGGATTGATACAGATGATTTAATTGGTTGCTAAGGGGTTTGTCCCCATACCAAACCAGGTTAGAAATAATTTGCTTTTCTTCTTAGACATTAAGCAATGAGAGGCTGGAATATAAACAGAATTAATCAATTCAGTTTAATATACATGTATTATATGACTGTTTACACCTAGTTTTTTGAGGTCTTAAAATTTGGACAAAAACCATCAAAATTAATGAAAATGATTTTTTTTTAAATTCTGTATTCCTGAACATCAAGCAGTTATACTAGACTGTTGGCAAAATTCTGATAATAACCCTTAATATAAAGCCTTTGAAATTCATGGCCCCATTGTCAGGAGATCCTGTGCTAGGGCTTGGTTTGTTGATTCCAAAGTAAAAATGCATTATGCCTATCAATTCCTTTTCTTTGGTCCTTGGTACTGAACAATCAAACTTAATACATTAATATAATAAGGAAAAATTCACTTTAAATTCCATGGCCCCTAATCAGGGATTCAAGAGTAAAACAGGAGCTGTGATAATTATATAATGAAAATGCATCAATTATATAATCTCTACTTTTCTATTTTTCCTGTGTATGCAACAAACAAGCAAATTCAAATACACATATAGTTAAAATGCGGGAGGTTGCTTTTTCAAAAAGTGTGAAATTAATTACCCTTAGGTCGGCGGTTCTTGGAAAGACAAGGTTCCATTGAATAAATATTGAAATTGCATCAATTCTATGAAGATCCACTTTTCTGCTTTTAGATATTTTGCACATAAACCATGCAGTACGTAGTAATAAATAGTGGTGACTTCTATTGCCTCAAATCTTTCACTTTTCATACCCATTTCACACATATTCGCGTTTACCAGGGGGGTCAGCGTTTTCTGGGGGGGGGGGGGGTTCCATGGTAACTTTTTTCTTGTTTTAGCTAGTATATACATTTTTTAACCTGGTAAATACCAGGGGGGGGGGGTCCTGACCCCTCCCCCTCCCCCCCCTTTAGATCCGCGCATGTATTCATTCAAGCCTTTGAGGTATGTTCGTAGCTTCGATATCTAACACTTTGCAGAAACCAATCATGTCCATTTTCCCCGAGGTGAAAATTTCTGGTGTAACAGACAAGATCGTAATCAGCTTAGTGTTCTTCTTGTCCGTGTTGATGCTTAAAATTATTAGGATGTCATCCACGTTATTCAGACTCAAATAATTGCTAAATTAAAGATGGTTGGACACCTAATTGTGTTGCCCCTATTCACAAGCATAATGAAGAACCTCTTTCAAAACGTTCGAGGTTATCCTTTGAGGATTCTGAATTTCATTGCTTCTTCAAACCATAACAATCACAAGATACTCCTTCCCCATTCTACTAGTCTAACACAAATGAGGAGCGCAGCACAGTTAAGGTTACAGTAAGGAGGCGGGGCCTAATTTGTACGGGAAATGTTTACTATGACGTCACACATAATATAAGGTCTTCAAAGTACCACAAAATGAAATTATTTGCTATTTCAAACAGCTGGATAGCTGTATACTACATATAAACTTACTATTACATGCAGTTTTGTCGTTTGTTAAATCCCACACAACAGTATATAAACGATGCATCGATCGCAATGCACTTGTCAATGTGACGTCATCTCACAAAAATGACGCAGTTTGTACACAGTGAGAGGATGATCAAGTCAGATTTTGTACAATGAAAAATGTCTTTTGTTCTCAAATAAAATCATATTTGCAGTAAAATAAAAAGCCGTTAACTTGGATGCGATGTCTATTTTATTATTTTATTTATAAACTGTACGTGAATTCTCCAGACAAGCGAAACTGCCGTGTGTTTATATGCAGATTCATTGAAAAAGTAATGGAAGGTCCCTAATAAATCGATTTATTGCAAGGGCATACCCTCAATGTATCTTGTCAAAATTTTACACATAAACTCAAGAAGCATTAAGATATTTGAAAAGTGCTGCGAACCTCTTGAAATCTTGCAAATAAATTAATTATAGCTATATTTAATGTAGTTGACCCTCAAAATATTCAACCTGCCGTCCAACAAATTAAATTTTACCAATTAAAAAAGGGAATCTATATAGGTTCGCAGCACTTTTCACAAACTACATATAGTGTTGAAAAGGATTATAAAATAAACTAAGATTTTTAACTTGGTTATGCCCTTGCAATATAGAAATTTATAGATGACCTCTAAACTGCAAGTATAATTGCCAAAAGTCATATGACGTCGACATTACAGGACAAGTCTAAATAAAAAAATTTAAATGTCCTCAACATGTAGATTTAAACCACATAACATTTTTTGGATATCAGTGAATTCCTAAAAAGAATTGTCCATCCTAATAAAGTATGTATTTTTTATCTTAAAAAATCGCCGATATTTCCATTTGTAACCTTAACTGTGCTGCGAGTTTATTGAAACAGGTAAATTGGACAAAGAACAAAGAAACGGACAAACATGTTGAGGTGCTTCCTTTAGTGATTCTTGTTCTTCAGAAGAAGAAGATATCTCAGAAATACCAGTTCAAAAGTCCCAGGTTGTACATGAAAAATGGCATACACCAGAAATTAGTTGTACCCCAAATCAGCCAAGAAATATGTTCTTTCCAGCAAAAAGGTTTGGTAAAAAGATGAGATATTTCAATGCCTGGTTTGATCGGTAGTCTAGGTTACAGTGTTGTATTCTGTTTTCCCTGCATAAAATCATTTCAGAAGGATATGGAGATAACGAACAGTAATAACTATTCAAAATCAAAGTCCGTAAAACAATACAAAATAGGAACAGCAAACA